GCAAATGCATGCACCAAAACCAGATCAAGTGCAAAACCATTGTGGACTATGATAAGAACTAGGACCCTTGTACACCTTAAAATACATTGATGTCATTATTTCTAAACTGTGGAGCCTCATAAATGTTCAGCTACATTGATTCATTAATCAATAGTGAAGATTTGTCAATCTCCCGTGCTGCCACTTTGCATTTTCCAAGGAATTCACGTTTCTTGAAGCATTTTTAATGATTAAACAGTTGGCACACATTTGATCTTGGCGTTGTCACTAGTGACGGTGATACACACTCGTTTATCATTTTAAAAAAAAACGTGAAATGATCTGGACTTACGCCAGATGTCATAAGGAACAACTGAAATAACTTCAAATGTTTTAGCAACGCCACGTGTAAATTATAAACCAAATCGTTAGAACCTTGACAAAAATAAAGCACGAGTAAGTTGTAGTTGAACTTTTGCAACATATTTGAATTGTTTATGAATAAGTACGACAAAAATACCTTTTCAATTTCCACTTAAATCTTACTGTCACCAGGATCTCCAAAGATGCTTCTCTGCAAAGAAAGTCAACATGGCTGTGTCATTAGCATACTCTGATTTACTACCAACATGTTTTGAAGCTGTTTAACTTTGAGTATACCTCATAAATTCCTCTAAATGATGTTTAAAGAATATTTCTCATTCCACAGTAAATTTAGCCAAACTCTAGTAAATCTTTGGAAACAAACAAAGCCCCTGGGCTATGATGAATCAAACCAACAGTGCCTTTGGTTGACTCTTGTCCACTGAAGGTAATTAGGAAGTCTGTTTTACCCTTTAGTGCAGTGTCTCTATTGGATGTCCCACCGACTACAGTGAAAAAATTATCAGAGAATAAACTATCACTGAGTTTTACGCAACACAATCCCATAGCTGTTTGTAAATTCAACATAAATGTAATCCACTGATTTGCATCCCTGTACACAACCTCTATTTTTTAGTGTTCATGAAAGAAGGGGAGGAAATGGTGTTTCCACATCCACCATCAATGAAATCTGTATTTGAATTAGGCTGCAACGTTGAAGGTGGAGAAACATCACAGATGACTTTAGGCATCTGGCTTAAAATTTGTTTGTTAGAATTATTACTTTTATACTGTATTAAAAAAAACGTAATTTTCCCTTGCCATTTACTTTTACTTTTATTTTCTTGTATTGTCAAATTTAGCGACCACACTCTTTCTCTCACGCTGATTGGCTCAGTAACTGTAGCATCAGAGTCTGCTCTCTTTCGCTGTGCGTTTTTAGAGCGTTTAGAGGAGGGGTGTCAAACCCACTTACAAAAGGGGGCCAAAATGAAACCCTTTTTTCAAACTAAGGGTCAGTTTCATAATCTGCATTAACTCAATCAGATACTCAACATCTTTTTTTGGTTGCAGGTTCCTCAACAACAGTTTGATTGGTCTCGTTTGATGTTCTCTGTTGCACTTTTGACATTTTAATCAAAGATTACTGAAAAAATTCAAGTGATAAAAGTATTTTACATTTAAAATATCATCTTGGAGGCCAGATAAGATGTCAACGAGGGCCACATTTGGCCCCCGGGCCTTGAGTTTGACACATGTGGTTTAGAGAGTTTAGAGCATTAGGAATATTGCAAGAGTGTGGGAAGTGTTTATAAAACTTTAGAATAAATATAAATACTAAAATAAATATACTTTGCAGATTTTTACGTATCACGGGGGTGTCTGGAACGTAACCCCCGCGATAAGTGAGGGACTACTGTACACGTGAGTAGCGGGTTTAGCGTTAGCATCTGCTAATTCTTTTACCGGTTTAGCATTAACGAAGCTTTTTTTTGTTTTGTTGGCAGAGTATGGGTTAGTGAAGCTAATGTTTTGGTTAGCTGTGCCCATCACTGTATTTTGCTAACTGAGAAAGACACAAAATCACACACAGGCACAGGCAATACCACCTTTTACGACATAGGGCAATTGCTACAAATGTAATAAAAATATATTAAAGAACTAAATAATATGTACCGGTATGTTATGACCAAATTCAATTCAATTTCAATTCAGTTTATTTATGAAGTGCCAATAAGTCACAACAGAAGTCTTCTCGGGGCACTGCACAGAAACATTCACAGACATTATAAAAGTAAAAAACATTTTATTAAATCTTTTCGTGGTTGATGGAAATGTATACAGTAGAAGGTCATTAAATGACAGCGTAGACTTTTATTATTTACATTTGCTGATTTAAATAAAAACTTTAGATTCTCAGCAGTGATTTACTACCATGTAAAGAACTGAAATAGATTTTTAACTGTATTTATGAACCAAAGGACAAAAAAAAAGGAAACCTGGAAAAGTCCAGTAGCCTATAGATTGTGTCTAATATATCACATACTGATTTCTTTAACTCAGTGAAAAATATAAATTTGTAAAGGTAATTTTTAATCAGAATAAAAAGCCACCTTTGTAAAATCATTAAACACCACCAAAAAAAGTACATTTACCACATCAAATAACTACTAATTATTAACTATTAACTATAGTTTTATAACCATGTTGGTGTTTGCTAAAGTTGATGAGCTGTAGATGCCACCTGCAGCTAGAAAGTTCCTGGAGAAACATTGACGTGGACTGCCACGTTGCAGCCATTTTAAAATTTGACTTTGACAGTACTCTGTTGTGGGGTTCACTCTCAGCTACCACCATACCATATACCACCACATTTCAGCTCAGTATAACAAAAAATCAATGACTTGTAGTATTTTTTTTTTCTTTTAAGCTATGAAAGTTAAACATTTGTTGTCATTCAAATATAGCATTAAAAGAGGTTGCACGTTTTCTGAATATCGTAAAACAAGTGACAGAGTAGGTAAAGATTGTATAGTCTTTGTGAACCATGTGGGCTCACAAGTCCTTAGGGAAAGCTGCAGTCTGGTTTATCTGTAGAAGGAACAAACTTGTCTACATAACGAGATCAAATGAAGTCACACAGTCATCAGCATGATGTTGAGCTCATACAGACACAACACACTGGAAAACACACCCACAGCTCCTGTGACTAGATAATACTCATCAGATCCAGCATTAGACATGTGACGTCTCTCGACTCCGTCTTATTAAAGCTGCTGGTCACGTGGTTATTTGTCTCATTTTGAAGACGTTTTTCTGTTTTCTTTTTATATCCACATTCTGGAGAGGAAGTGTGTCCTTAATTTAAGGCCAGCAGCTGTTGTCTGTCAGATGTGGTCTTAAAAAGGGTGTGTGTGTGTGTGTGTGTGTGTGTGTGTGTGTGTGTGTGTGTGTGTGTGTGTGGGTAACTGCATGAAAAGCAAATGGTAGCCTTAGTGACATGCTGTGCAGCGTTGCTCACCCTTTACATCTCTGTACTCTCCTCCTGTCTTCTCCCATTCACAGGGTTTCACCTAAAGTGACACAAAAAAAGAGGAAAGTTATTCATTAAAAAACCTGGAAGCAGAAACTATAGTAGAACAGTCAGCTTAAAGTTGCGTTTATAAGAACGTACGGTATTTGTTTTTTAACTTTTACGTTTTGTGTTATTGTCTCACTGCATTTGTTGAAATACTCATGTTGTATATGAGGCTGTCTAATGCAAAAATCAAAAGTTGAAATAATCAATAAACTATTTGTTCTCCCTTCAAGTCATTTCAGGGCTGTAGTCATTTTTGGATTTTTGTTTGTTTGTTTCTCCCACTTTATGAGACAGCTATTTGTTTAATCTGTGTCTATGATTATAATATTTAAATATCAAGATAAAATCAAGTGGTAAAATTTTTACATTAAATTGGAGAGTGGAAATAAAATGTAAAAAAAAAAAAAAAAAAGTCTGGTATTTAATCAGTTTAGCTTCACTTTAGCCAGAAGGGTTTAAACATTTGTTTCCTTGCAGGATTATGAGCAGATGTGGTCAGCACAAGTGATTACGATGGTTTTTATTGTTTTTTTTTAGCATTTAATATTTAGTTTTGTTCATCTCTAACAAGGTTAGCCTTTTGTTTTGTTTTTTTCACAACATTAGCATTGCAGATGACTGCAAACGAGGAGAGCTGTCAAGAAGCTGGCTCCTTCACAAAATCTGCCTCTCAAAGCAAAAACTTAAACCTCAAGCTGCGTCTCCAGAGAGAAAGCAGCTCTAGTGATCTCGACCTTCGGTGCTTCGTATCGCTGCTCATGTTTAATCATAGACTTGTCATTAGGTCATTGAGCGGGCGGGTCGTTTGCACTGACTGTGCCCACATTAATGAGTTAAGGAAGCTTGTTAACATCATGTGAAGGCGAAGGCCTCTTGATCTGTCATTAATGCACAGCGCTTCAAAATGTGACATTTTGCTTGATTTGTACGACTGTCATCACCCGCTGTTGAAGGTGAAGCAAATAATATTTTTGCTCTGGAATGAAAGGTGGCATGTGATATGCATTTCTTCAAAGTATGCCGATTAGATTTTTTTTAAGCATTTATGGTTTTAGAGCAGAACTCTCTCTTCGGATCTGCCAGTGTGAATTATCAGCTCATTTTTCCTTTTTCAGCACTAATTCAATTCCACCTCTTGTTTACAAAACTGCCCCGAGCCTTAAAGGCCATCTGGCTGCAGCAAACCCAATCTCTGCCGTTGTGACCCTACACCCCCCTCAGTGAGCAGACTTTACTCCGACTCTCAGACCCGTCATAAAGACTCATGTTGTTCACAGCACCATTAACGTGATTTCATACCCTTTAAAAAATATACTTTTATGATGAATACTTAGTTCATATCTTAGATCTTATTACTGTTTTTCTTTTACATTTTAATACTTTTGTTGGATGTAACTGGGACCCTGTGTACACAATTTTGTTCTACCACATGTACCACATGTGGTGTGAAATGACAAATAAAGAACATTAAATCCTTGAATATGAGTCTATTCAACTCCATCCTGAAAGTTTTGGAGCAAATTAAGTATTTTTTTATTTTTATTTTTTTTACATTCTTATGTTTTTGCTTTTACAGGTTGCAGGGGAACAGAAGTATCACCCAGAATGCTTCAGCTGTCTGAACTGTCGGACGTTCATCGGTGATGGAGACACATACGCGTTGGTGGAACGATCCAAACTCTACTGGTGAGCACTCAGCACCACGTCATTAACCTCCTGCTGCTTTTGGGTCAAACCAGTCATGAGGCCTCAGTTTTAACTGAGGGAGAACTTTTTTGACCTTGTAGCCTTTTCTTATCGAGAGGGGTATTGTTTTCTCTTTAGAACAATAATGTTAATTCATCCCCATTGTTTTGCAAAATGTGAGTGACAAGAGACTCAAGATTAAATCATGTTTGTTGTTTGCACAAGCTCTGTTTTTGCCGTTTTAGCTGCAGGTTTTCGTTAATGTCATCATCACAAGCCCCAGGCTTTAAAACATAAATGAGAAACTTTCAGACATATATACCGTCTAAAAGCTTTTGTACGACGGAGCTTTAGGGCCACGCTAAGAAGAAAAGAAATAAAAGCCATAATTTTACGAGAATAAAGTTGTATGAGTCTTTTTGCAGCTCTCGTGAGTTTTTTTTTTTTTCCACAAGTCGGATCCACGACGTTTGCGTGATTGCAGCTACAGCATGCACTCTCAGGACATTATTACCTGCTGAACTAGGCAAAAGGGCCTTCTCCTACTCCGCTCCTGTTTCCTGGAATATCTTACAAAAATAATTGAAGCTCTCGACCTTGACCTCTCTAAGTGGCTTTAAGAATCTGTTGGACTCCTGGCAGGGACCAATGCAGACATGTTCCTGTTTTTAGTTTTCTACATTCGCCTTAGAATCTAGCTGTTTTTTGTTACTTTTCTTTTTTTTTTAAGCCATCCTATTTGTAAAAAAAAAAAGTATGACTTTTTATAACTGTTTATTGTTGTCGCTGCTGTCCATTGTTGTCATCATACTTTGTTGAAATCAGGTCTCTCTTGTAAATGAGTCCTCAAGGCTCAGTGGGATTTACCTGTCTAAATAAAGGTTGAATGAAAAAAAAAAGACCAATCCGAAGCGAAACGAGTTGTAATATTATCCGAACTCTGACATGATAAAGCAGGGTTTACCGCATTTTAACTGTGGTAAAATGAAGAATGTTGAGCATCTTGTTAAGTTATACTTTGGTATTGGTTTTACAGATAAGGAGATATTTAATTTGTCAGCACATCAGCATCAGATTATTATCAGTGTCAGGACTTTGAACGTACTTACAGTAATGTGGTACGCTCTGATGGGCTGCAGCGCAGCTCTGCAGGTAAGGAGCATTTAGCTTCGGATTGGTTATTTGCTGACACGCCTACTGGATTGATTGACAGGTTGCATCGTGGATCTAACTTGTGGGAAAAAATTTTAAAAATGAACGAGAGCTGAAAATAAAAAGTCTCATATGACTTTATTCTTGTAATATTAAGACTTTATTCAACAGTATTCTCGTAATACTAGGACTTTATTCTCGTAATTTTATGGCTTTTAATTTTTTCTTTTTTTTTTTCTTTGCGTGGCCCTAATGCTCCGTTGTACTTTTGGCACTTTTTACGACAAAAAATAAAACCCATCCTTCAACAGGTAACAGAACACACAAACAGCTCTGATATCAACATTACTGAGCTATTACTGGATCAAATAAGGACAAGCAGATGCTGAAATAGTGTCAGTGTGCCAGAGTTGTGGTTTTTATTAATCACCTTCATAATGGGTTTTGCTTATTTGGGTCAAAATCATGTGTGAAAGAAAAACAAATAGAGCTACTGTCTTGTTTTTTGACTTTGCCTCAGGTTTGTAATAAAGTCAGTTGTGATTTTCCAGGCCATGCTTTAAAAGAAAAAAGTGAGCTACTCTTATGAAAAGTATTTGCTCACACTAAAGGTCAGCCATAACTCAGGACTTTGACTGTGCAGTGAACTGAAACAGTATCTAACCAACAACATGTGATGCTTTAAAGACTGATGTAATAAGAAATAAACTCTTGTGAAAACCTCACGAGGTTTCCTTATTCTCTTTCCTCATAATCCTCATCCTCCCACATTCATGTTCTCTTTCTCTTCATTCCCTCCGGCTCCAGCGGTCACTGCTACTACCAGAGTGTGACCCCGGTGTCGCTGCCGGACTCGCCATGCTCTCAGATCCCTCACACCGTCACACTTGTGTCCATCCCCGCCTCAGACGAGGGCGACAACGGTCGCAAAGGTCGAGGCTTCTCCGTGGCCATCGACCAGCCTCTCAGCCCGACCAACGGCTACAGCCCTGAGTGTGGACCCACTGTGAGGGTCTCCCAGTGAGTGAAACTAGGAGCTTTAAATACAAAACCACAGTGAAAACAAGTAAAAGTCTGAACCACTGTTCTAGAAAGGAAATGCAAACTTGTCTGATGTGAGGTTTCTGTAAAAATAAAAACACAATTTGTGTTGAAAAGGAGCTCATTGTTTTCCTTTTTTCCAGAGTGGACGCTGACTGCATGAGCCCAGATGTGAAAAACTCCATTCACGTTGGAGACAAGATCCTGGAAATCAACGGGACGCCCATTCACAACGTTCCTCTGGATGAGGTATTCACCGCTGTAGACCATCATCCTCCAGTCTTGAGGGAAGGAGTTCCACTAGCTCACCTGAACTCATTGTTTGTCTCCAGATTGACCTGCTCATCCAAGAGACGAGCCGGCTGCTGCAGCTCACCATCGAGCACGACCCTCACGCTCAGAAGATAGGAGGAAGCTCCTCGGAGGCTGAAGATCAGTTGGACAGCACCTTGTTCACCCCAGTGTCAGAGGGCTCCATCCCCACCCTGCCGGTCACCCAGCCCCCCAACCCGGACATCTGCAACCTGAAGTCCCGTATCATCACGTAAGAAACAGCCCGTTTACTTATCTACCGTCAAACACCTCAAGTTACATTTTATATTCGGCTGCAACTTTTTTTGAATGATTGCGTCATCATTAGAAATATTACAACACTGGTGTCTCATCTTCACCTCTTCGCTTTCTCTCGCTCTCTGTCAGGCGGAGTTACAGCATCGACAAGTCGCCGGGCTCCAGCAACACAGCGTCGCCCGTCTCTCAGAGGAAGGAAATCAACCGATCCGAGTCGCTCCGAGTCGTCTCCAGTCGGACGCACCGTATCTTCCGACCATCTGACCTCATCCACGGAGAAGTTCTCGGGAAGGGATGCTTCGGACAGGCCATAAAGGTAGAGCTACCATTTCTGACCCGAACCCGGAGCCCGGCCCAGCCCGACCCAGATTCGAAACCGTAATAATGTGCATAAGGTGTAGGACCGGTCCGGTCTCGGGCTTTGATGCGGTTTTACAAATCATACAGCATAAATAAAACTAAATAAGAATGCACTATATACAACTGTGTTAATCTACTTGTTGAGGAGGAGGCAGGTCCAACTGGCTGGTTTAAAGAGGTAAAAAAAAGTTGCATTAAGCTCAAATGGACAACCTGTCACCTGGACATGGGCACCAGCAACCCCCGCTACCCGAAAAGGAAGAGGCGGGTAAAGATGATGGATGGATGGATGGATCAGCTGATCACCGGCCGCACGCGTCTCCACACCTGCTGTCATCTGCGGTGAAGGAAGTAGCAGCGTTTACAAAAGCCGAAGCGAGCAGCGCGTTCAACTAAAATAGCCTTATTCTATATTTTTCCAAATAATTTTGGAAAAATATAGAATACATAATTTCGCTCCACCACATGTACCACATGAGGTGCGAATGACAATAAAGAAACTCTGACTCTGACTCTGACTCTGACTCTGACTCTGATAATTTAGCTCTAAAAGTATATTTCTTCATCTGTATAATAACCTGTCTTTACAGTTAATTTTTTTAGGCTATTCGTTTTGTATGTTAATGTCCATTTAGTGATACAAGAAATATTTTATCTTCCTTTCTTTGAAATACGTTTTCAAAATATGATGTCAAACTGATTTGCTTACAAAAGCTGTAAAAGCTTAATTAAAACAATGTCTGTTTTTTTTTTTTCTCGGTTCGAGCCTGTAATTACAGTTAATTTGATCAGATCGTGTTGGGTTCGGAAAAAATGGTTACGGGCTGGGGCCGGGTTGGGTCGGATTTTTTAGGCGGGAATGCAACTCTTAACATAAAGGTAGGCAGACTCGAAAACTTCCACTAGATGGCAGCGTTTAGACCGCTCAGGAGAGGGACGAATCAGTCTATTACTCTTGTAAATTAACTCTTTTTATTGTGTCAGAATTTTCTTTTTCAACCTAATTTATGAACCATTCTGTTTTTTTGTAGGTGACCCACAGGGAGACTGGGGAGGTGATGGTGATGAAGGAGTTGATTCGCTTTGACGACGAGACGCAGAGAACGTTCCTCAAAGAGGTGAGCGGAGAGGTTTCATCATTTAGGAGCATCAGAGTAGCTTTAATGTCATACTCTGTTCTTAATTAATTCAAACATCAACCTGCTGATGCTCAGAAGGTAGTTGGGCAAATTATCAAAGATTTTGATGGTTTAAAAGAATCAGCAGCTGCCTACAAGAATGAGGAACTTAAATAAAGAAGTTTGTATGACATAGTTAACCCTTTACCACCTACGCCTCAAGATTTCCATATAGTAGGCTTGTGACAAGGATTAATATTAACATTAGTTAAAGAGGAAGGCTATACGTGTTATTTCACCTCCATCTCTCTACTTCCTCCGTTATGTTTTGTACAGACAACAGAGGATGACATGCTCATTTAGACTTCCTGTCTAATTAAAAGAAGTTGTTGTTGTGCTGCTGAGCTTGTTCCTGCTAGCCAAACAGAGGTGGCACGTTGATAATTTAGTCCTAAAATTAGTTGCAGAATCTGAGGAGTGGCAGTGGTAGTTGTGTGTTTCTGTACGCCGGCTTCAGGTCTGCAGCGTCACCGTGGTCTGTGTGCATCAGATGCTCTCGTCCTGTTATTCGCGTCTGTGTGGGAGTTCCTCTTGGTTGTGTGCATTTACACGTGAGGTTTAGCTTTAGGTTGCGGCAGCACGAAGTACTCAGTAATCAGTGCAGGCAGGAGTAAAAACTGTCTGGAAAACAAACCCCAGCTACAGTTCAGGTTAGTTATTACTCCCAGTAGCTGTTTGTTAGTGGGTGGCCCAAGTCTCAAATTACCGGGTCTCTTTTAAGCTTACATGGTGACGAAAGACAAAATGTTTCTGTGTAATTGTGACTTGCCTACTTCGTCCACACAACTCAACCTTCAGAAGAATAAGCTTTTTTTAAATCTCTAAAATTGCTTGAAAATTAGAATTAATTTGGAGCATTTTTGTTTCAATTTAGACTGCCATTATAATTTAGATTTATACACCGAGTTTATTTCTCAAAAGTAAAATTTAGCTGATAAGGATTTTGTTGCTGAACAATGTTACCTCTGCAGTTTATGTATTCCAAAGATGTTCAAGCTGTGTGTGGACATGTCCTCAGGTGAAGGTGATGCGCTGCCTGGATCACCCCAACGTGCTCAAGTTCATCGGAGTCCTCTACAAAGACAAGAGACTCAACTTCATCGCAGAGTACATAAAGGGAGGAACGCTGAGGGAGATCATCAAGAAAATGGTGAGAAGTTAATGAAACGTGTCGCCTACTGTGTCTGTTTTGACTTGATTTCAAAAGGTTTGGCAACTGGGGAGTTAAAATGTAAACGTGGTTTCTGTTTGCAGGACAGTAACTATCCCTGGAACCAGCGCGTCAGTATTGCTAAGGACATTGCTGCTGGAATGGTGAGTTTAAAAGCTCCCGAGTGGATGTGATTTAACAGCAGCAAAGGAAAGTGAGACGCTTCCTGCTGTTTCCACCTCTGCCTCCCTTTAGTGGTCATGACAGGGAGCTACAACCATGAGCTCACCAACTTTAAATCAGTTTGAAAATGATTTAGTAGCATTTATTTTTATAAAATAGTCACAAATAAGTCTTAATAGTAAATTGATGTACTGATTTTATCTTTTAGTTCATGTTCTTGTTTATTTATTTATTTAATGTGTCTACCTGCTGTGTCCTGTCTGTCTTTTAGACTTATCTACACTCCATGAACATAATCCACCGGGACTTGAACTCACACAACTGTCTGGTCCGAGAGGTAAGAACGAACGCACAATTGTTTTGTGACAATGTGAGATGCCGTGCGATATTTTAGCGCTCGCAGTATGTGTTGGGGATCAGTATCCGCCACTGCCACACCAGAATTTAGCTCAGCCTCTGCACAGTTGACAGAGTTGTTGCTATTTTGATGTTTGCTCAGGTTAGGTAGCTGTGGCTGCCATCTTGATTCCAGATGTTATTCAGTTGAAAATGTTTAAGTTTTGAGTTTCGTTCAAATCAATTCTCTGGTTCATGAGATATTTTGCTAACAGCCAGACAAATAAGTGTGCACATGCACAGAGGATCACCTGCCACTCTTCATGGTGGCGTTGATAGCTAAAAGCTGAAGTTTTGTAACAAAAGCTTAAACTGATTACAGATGATATGTTCAAGCTTTTTTCTTAATTATCAGACATGTGTTTTTTTTTATTATTATTATTTTAAATTAAATCTGTGTGTGCTGGCTGTGGAATAATGGTTTATTTTTCCTCATCTTTAATGATTTTAGGACAACACTGTGGTGGTGGCAGACTTCGGCCTGGCTCGGCTCATGATTGACGATAAGCATGAGGAAAAGCGGACGCAGGGCAAACTGACCGGCCTGAAGAAGCCCGACCGAAGAAAAAGGTACACCGTGGTGGGAAACCCCTACTGGATGGCTCCTGAGATGATCCACGGTATGATGCACAGGAACACAAATAAAATAAATATCATGACTTCTTTTCTACTTCCTCAAATAAACTTACTAACTTTGTTTTGTGTCCGACTCAGGGAAAAGCTACGACGAGAGAGTTGACATCTTTTCTTTTGGCATCATGCTCTGCGAGGTAAGTGACCTGTTTGCTGTTAAGTTTTAGATTTTAAAATCCAGACAGATGTGTTGAGTTTCGAAGGGACCTTTGCTTCATTTGTTGATTTCATGACTTGTAAGATTTTCTAAATGTTTTATTTTTTTCTGATTTCATATAGGATAAATCTTCATCTCACTATACCTAACTCGGTTACAAATGGGGACCAAAATTAAAAACTTTGTTCAAGTCATGGACCAGTTTCAGTCGATGCATTAGTTGAAGTCAAATACTTGACATCCTTTCATCAGCAGGAGCTTTATTGGTGCTGTTTGACGTTCTCTGTTGCTCCTTCACGTCAAAATAACAGATTACTAAAAAAAACACCCTTTTTTTCTGACTTCAAAAAGTTGCCCAACTTTCATGAGAAGTCAACTAAATGAAGTATGCTCAGTTTTATAAGCAAAATGAGACACATTAAAAGTATTTCACATTTAAAATAATATCTTGGGGGTCCAGATAAGATGTTAAGAAGCGCCAGCCTCGAGTTGGACACGTGCTCTAAAACATACTTGTTCCTTTGAGAGTTTAAAGCTCTTTTCCCTGTCAACAACCTGCAACCTGTTTATGTTTCCGATGGGGAAAAGTTCAGTCATGCTCCCAGCTGCAGCTCCAACAGTTCTGCAGCTGTGTTTTTCAGCTCCAGCTCACGTTAGCAGTAATTTCAACACAACACCCAGCTGGCTAATGTGACTTAAACACACACTGAGTTCTGGTCAGCAACAGTAAATGCAGCTTTCATTCAGCTTTAATTTCATATTGAACATAATCAATAATCTCACATTAAGGCTCTAAAACTGACAGGAGCACCAGCTTAGATAAAAGCAGACGTGACCAATACATTTTACCAGTCTGCCCAGTGGTTGGCAACTCAGTCCAAGTCCTGCTGTGTTTGGCTTCCTGTATTTTAGTCCCTTCAGAAATAAAAGCCCCAGAAAGTTATACTTAACAGAAGTTGGGGCCTACCGCAGCCTGTAGGCTCACTGGACACCATCCCTTCCGGTTGCATGGTTGTTCTTGGATGTAGTAATTAGAGGCGGTGCCAGCACACAGAGAGTAACCACGCCGCCTCTGGCAACAGGAACCAAATCAGATGCTTTATTTTTAGTTGGCATGCACTCCTAATTTATTTTTACAAGTCCAGCTGTAATTTGGGCTCATTGTCTCCCCTTCTTCTAACTCTAAAATGTGTGGGAAAGCTGGATTTTGCACAGCTGTTTCGACTGTCAGTGAGTTCAGTGTTCCTTTTTTAAAGCAATAGCCCAATTAATTTTTACGAGTTAATAATGATACTCTGCCAAAATCTAACATTTCTGAAGAGGGAATTGATTTTCCAATGGCCTCACAGAGCTGTAGACTTTGAGGGTGGCCACACACCGTGCTCATAAACTTCAGTGTTTGGTTCGGTCACTCAGAATATGACTTCTCCAGATAGACGCCATTATTCAGCAACGGTAATGAAAAGCAATCTGTCCTCGTGTGGCTACTCTCAGTCGACCATGTGGATCGATGCAGTCTGTTGGGAACAATCAGCTAGAGAGCTGACTGGTTCAACTTTGTCTCTGTTTGGTTTGTTCTGCCCCCGTCAGATTATTGGTCGAGTGAACGCAGACCCAGACTACCTCCCCAGAGCGACAGACTTTGGACTCAACGTTTCTGGCTTCCTGGAGCACTTCTGCCCCCCTGACTGTCCCCCTGCCTTCTTCCCCATGGCTGCTCTGTGCTGTGACCTCGATGCAGACAAAAGGTCAGACTGAAGTTGGAGTTATGTCTAAAGGCACATTTCACGCAATATATGTCCCCCTTAATGTATTAGGTTTTATATGTAATGAGTGCAAGATAGTCCTGCAGTTTTAGGAATGTTTCTTTTAACCAGTGCAACTACAGTAGTCCCTCGTTCATCGCAGGGGTCATTCCAGACATCCCCCGCAATAAGTGAAAAATCGCTAAGTAGGAACGCTATATTTATTTTAGTATTTATATATAGTTTAAGGCTTTATGAACCCTTCCCACACTCTTGCAATGTTCTAAACTCTTAAATCCACATCATTTTAACAACATATATATGTACTGTACAGTAGCTACTATAAAATTTTATATGGGTACAGTACTCACCAGTCTTGGTCCAGTTCTGGTCTGGTTCTGATCAGCTCTCTGCAGCCGTTGAGCTCCAAGACACTTTTAAAGAGAGCCGGACCTTTGGAGAGACAGCACAAAACCACACAATGGTCCCGATAGAGTCCAAATAATCCAGGGGGATCTGGATGAAAATATGTCCAGGTTAGTCCTGAAGAAGACACTGGACCTCCAAGCAATGCCTCCCCACTTGAGAGGCTTCTTGGGCTGGCAAACAGCACTCAGATTGACTGAAGAGGCTGGAAGTAGTTCTGGTCCAATTCCCGGTCGGTTCTGTTCTCCATCCACAGAGCACCAAAGTCACTGTAAATAAGGACCAAACTTTTTAGTCAGGTTCGGATCAGATCAAAACTTTCCCTCCATTTCAGCAGAAAGCAGCGGTCGGAAGCACTGTTGACTTCTGGGTAATGTAGTACAGTACTTTATAGGCTTATTGAGAGAAAAGTACAAAATGGCAGCGCCTGTCCGAAGTATTGTTTGTTTTTTCTGTTAACTTTTTACTGTGTCCAGTACTGTCCCAATCACGAGTAATATTAAAGTTGACAGTCATGTGTCGTGTACAATCTTACTTTAAAAAACAAGGATCTAGTGAGTCCGCAAAAGTCGAAATGTGAAGTAGCAAGGGACTACTGTATTGCACTCCTGAAAATGATTTTGTACTGATACTTTTTTTTAATTATAACAAAAAAAAAAAAGCTCTGAAATTAGTACAGGAGACTTTTCTGTTATAAAACATAACAAACAAAGCTGTTAGTAAAATGTTGCGTTTTTGAGTAAAATTTGCCTCTGATGTTCCCATAAGTTTTATTTTTACATCCAGACAGTAAAACTAAACTGTGTCGTCTTTCTTCATGCTTAGACCCGCTTTCTCCAAACTGGAGGAGTGGCTGCAGAACCTGAAGATGCACTTGGACATTGGTCTGCCCCTCATGTCTGAACTGGACCAGTTGCACAAGGTCTTCTGGGGGATCCACAGCATCAGACACCCTGAGAACGGCCTGCACACGCATCCTGAGCAGCCTGAGTAGGCTCGATCAGCGCAGGATGGAGCGGGAAGCTGGCGTCAACCAAGGGGAGGCAGCGACCGCCCGCCTCGCCTCAGGTGCCACAACACAGCAGGAGTCGTCACGTTAAGACTTCGTGGCAGATGACACTGGTTTTAGCTGGCTCAGGCTATAAAAACAGACTCAGGGGGAAACGTGGCTCTGAAAAGCCATCGGTGTGAGATGCACACAAACACACACATGCTTCATCTCCAACCGAAGGTGAAGTAGACTTTGTTGTATGCAACCGAACACGCATTTCAACATATGACGCTTGAATCATGTAGATATAACGAGTGGACACACAGGTAAAGAATATTTGTTGTCCTTACTGAAGCGTGTAACCTTACATAGAAACGGGAATCAAACGAGCGAACCTTTAGCTGCTTTACTTGGAGCCTCTGCAGAGTACATTGTACAGTTTGTGCTTGCAGGTGCTTCTGTGTGCATTGTTTCTTTTGGGTCTCAAAACTTCACTTGTGAAAAATGCAACAAAAAAAAGGCCTGTCTTGTCCTAGTGGTGATTTTTAGAGCCACGTGTACAAAAAGCAAAACCTTCCAAGCTTTAACTGTCTCGATGAAGACTGTAAATAATGCTGCCAGGTCAAATCCTGCTTCACTCTGACCGCTGATCCACACGTGGTGCTGCCTTTGTCCTGATTTATTGTGTAGCACTGACTTTACATTAAGGTTAAAACATGAATTTGGCACGCCCTCTCTCACGTAAAGGAGCTGTTGTTTCATTCATGACGACTTCATCATTGTAAATGTTTTAAATATTGTAAATGTACAGTCTTATTTTATATACGTTCTCTACATTGCCATATTTTTATTGGCCGCCCAGAGGAAAAGGAGAGTAAACTGCAGCTTAACAACACAGCCAAATGTTTTAGTGTTTTGTATTCTCCATATTGTCATTTAGCATTTAAGACTTTGGGAATGGTGGCACAAAAAAAAACATCTCTTAAACCTCAGTTTAAATTTGAAAACCTTCAGTCAAAAGAAAGGCTTTGCCACTGATTGGTCATTTTGGGGTTAATTTATCTTGCACACCCATCCATCCATTATCTTTACCTGTTTCTTCCTTTTTGGGTCGCAGGGGTCACTGGAGCTCAGGTCCAGCAGTCACTGTGAGAGAGGTGTGAGACACCCTGGACAAGTTCATGTCCATCACAGGGACACACAGAGACAAACAACCATTCACTCGCTCACTCACACCTAGGGACAATTTAGAGTCACCAATCAGCCTAACATGCATGTTTTTGGTCTGTGGGAGAAAACCCACGCATGCATGAGAGAACATGCAAGCTCTACCCAGAAAGGCCTCTGGCCGGGATTTGATCCAGCGACCTTCTCGCTGAGAGGCAACAGCTCCACCAACTGAGCTCGGGTTTATAACCCATTTATATAACTCGCATCATTTAAATCCCTAATCCTCTAAACCTGCCTTGTGCTACAATAATCACAGTAATAATTTGATCACATCACAACTTTCATGATCAGCTCTAATGAAAATCCTCGTTTTTGGTCCTTACCCTCCTGTGATGTAATCCATACTGAACTATTTAACCAGCTGGAAGGGGGTGTTTAATTATTTCATAGAGTTTGCAGCAATTGAATCCGCACAATCAGATTTAACAAAATAAAACAATATTCTGAGGGCAATCATCAACCTGTAGGGGGCCTATTTCACAACAGACTTTATTGACATGGAAGAGGAGGGACATGTGTGTTAGTGAGGGAGGCAGTCCACCTGCTGATTGACATGCTAACAAGAAACATTTTTAAATGTGTGATTTTCCAACTCTCGAGTAAAATTTCTGGGTTTTCCATGTCCTTCCTGTACAGATGTGTCGACATATCATCAGGTACTGCCTCATCTTCTCAGCTGTTTGCCCACTTCTGGAAGATGACTCATTGTTTGTTTGTTTACATATAAAAGCGAGCTGTACTGTAAATACGACTGTAAATACCGTCCTACATCCGCCTGCGTGCATTGCATAAACACACACAAATATTCTCTAACACTGTCAGGTTTCACTTGCACCTGCTAAAGTAGGATTTGTTTGTTGTTTTTGTTTGTTTTCTTCATGAGCTGCATGATGTAGTGGCACTGCTGTTCTGCTTCTACTCTAAGCTGTTTTAGTTTGTGACTATTGAGGTTTTCGGGTAAGAAAACTAAATGAAACGCAAAAAGTCAAGCAGGGCTGAAAAGAAATCGTGGAAAAAAAGCGAGTTTTTCTATGTATATAAACCCACCAAAATCCTTTTTGTATACATTTGAGTACTTTTATTTGCACTAGATGGCTGTTTGAGGCCATGTTTGTTAATTTTCTCTCCTGGGCTTCTTGTGATAGACATGATTTATGTCAGTTCAGGTTGATATTTGAATGCAAGCCACTGTTGAAGCCTTTCAACTGTAAAAAACCGTGGGGGATTCTGGGAGTTTCTCCCTCTCAATAGCAAACACTTGTCTAAGTATTTAGATGCACTTCTGATCGTAGTGCAGGCAATATTTTATCATAGCATCTAAAAAGACGAAGCGTCGTGGTGTTTGCTGTTGATTGGTTGTGACGTCTCAGCTTTGCCCGCTGCCTACGGACTGGTCCTTTGTGAATAATGTGTGTTGTTTCTGACTGCTCAGTTACGTCCGCGATGCCCACAGACACCTGATGCTTCTCACAGCCGAGCACCTCCTCCGTCACCTCTTCCTCATCTTTTGGCTCAGGTCCGTAATATTTCCGGAGCTTTCTTCACCTTTCGGTTATTCAGCAGCTTAATAATTGATCGCAGTGAGGTTGAATGAGCACGCGTCACTCTGTAGGCTAACTCGGACGCCAGACGTGCACTGTGGCTTCGTCGTGGTTTTCTTCACCGCTCCTGTCTGAGCTATGTCCAGCATGTTAGACGCGTCAGTCATGGTCACTGAGAAAGTTGCCGCAGCACTTCTTTGCAAAGGATCTTTACCTCTGAACAATGCTGTGCCTTTGTTGTAAGCTAGCCTTGCCAACGACTCGAAAACATGAACTGATTTCCCGTTTTTTTGTTGTTGTTGTTTGGGTTTTTTTTACAATGTATTATAACTGCAAGCCTGATTCAAGTGAACTAAATATCGACATGTTGTAAAAGATTTTATCATGTTCTGTATCATATTTATACTTTCAGATCTCCATTGTCAGTTTTGATATTTTAATATTATATTCATTGTTTTTTTTTTTCTTATTTAATGTTTTTTACACAAGCTGTGAAGATAATTCTGCACTTTAATCCTGAACGTGAACATATAGACTCTAAGGAGTTGATTGTATTTTGGTTTTGTTTGGTCACAGCTTAAAATAAAACTGTTGCTCTTTAAACAAACCAGAGACTCAAAGTGTTCATTTTTCCGCATCAAAACTGAAAAGGTTTAGTTTGTGAGGTCATACTCACCATTCCTCACTTCCTTTTACTACTAACAAAGGCAAACTATGGCAGATCTAATACTACAGGCAGTTTTACTCACAGAACGCCCATTCTAAAAGCATTATTATTATTTTTTTTTTTTAATTCAATTCAGTTTATTTATTTAGCACCAAGTCACAACAGAAGTCATCTCAGGGCACTGAACCGAAACATATATAAAATCAGTTAATAACATTAATTATCTGAGGAGCAGACTGCTTTGAGTTTAACTCCATCACAGAACTCTCATCTTGAGCAAGCATGAAGGCGACAGTGGAAAGGAAAAACTCCCTCATGAGGAAGAAACCTTTAGCAGAACCAGACTCAGGGCAAGCGGCCATCTGCTTCGACCAGCTGGGTTTGATAGGAATAGATACACAATGCCAGGTCAAGAATCACGTTAAGATAGAAATAGCATCAAATGAAAACTATTCAATTTTAGCAAATAATTTAAGAGATTGGGTCAATTTGTCCTCCAGTAGTCTAAGCCTATAGCAGCATAACAAGCCAACCCTAACTATAGGATTTATCAAAAAGGAAAGTCTTAAGTCCAGTCTTAAAACTGGACAATGTTTCAGCCTCACGGACAGAAGATCTTCCATTCTGCGTTTGGAAACTCTAGGAACTGTAAGTAAACCTGCAGTCTGAGAGTGAAGTGCTCTGTTAGGAAAATATGAGACAATAAGATCTGTAGTATAAAATGGAGCTAGGTTGTTGAGGGCTTTGTAGGTTAGAAGTAAGGTTTTGAATTCTATTCTGAATTTGGCAAAAATAAAATCAAATTGGCAAGTACGAAATAATGAAAATAGTGCCAGTATGTCACAAAAAAGGGTTAAATCATGTTATGCACGATGATTGGTTGTTTTGGACAGATGGTCCCCTTTGTGCATGTATGAAGCCAGTTTCTTTGGATTCCACAGAGGGCTGGCTTGAATCACATCAAGGAGGTGCTATTTATAAGACTGATCTGGGTTGAGATGAAAGATGAAACATTTCTCCCATAAAAAGAAACTTGTCCAGATAGCACGATTTAACCCTTTTTTGTGATTCATCTTCCTGGATGACTGAGCAGTCAAACCTTTTTCAGTGCCGGTATGCTTAAAAAGGAAAAGAGTTTCCAAAATGACCAGTAGATGTCACTCTCGGCCTCCGAGAGTGAAACTTTAAATTCATTCACATCATTTTATAAATCCATCTGCAGCTGTTCTGCTTTTATACCATCACTATATGGACTGGTTCAGACACATTATTTCAGGTGCTTCGGTCAGGGATGATCTCCAGTGATAGACATTCTTCATGCTTTAAGACAGTTTGGACTTTTCTGGTTTCAACAACATTTTTGGGGAGGCCTTTCCTATTCAAACATGGCCGTACCCATGTACTTTAAAGACCTGATCTGATGAGTCCAGTATGAAAGAACTTGACTGCCCCACACAAAGCACCGACCTTAACCTCACTGAGCACCTTTGGGGTGAATTCAGTTTATTTGTGTAGCACCAATCTACACAAGTTATCTCAAGGGGGCTGTACAAGAACATATTTTAAAATTCCAGTTAGTAAAAGTTATTTATCAAAGGAAGCCAACAGATTACATCAAATGTTCTCCTAGTCACAGTCTCATGTCTGGAGCAAGCATGGAGGTGACAAAGGAAAGAAACAACTCTTTTAACAAGAAGAAACCTACAGCAGAACTGGACTCGAGGACGGCGGCCATCTGCCTCAACCAGCTGGGGGTTGAAAGGACAGGAAAGAGACGAGCACAGGACTGGTCCAGGTGTGGAGGCTATGGGGAAAACAAACAAAACCATGTAGCAATAACTATGCACATGAACATAGAAAGAGTAAAGACAGAGCAGAGTGTGGTCAGTTAGTCCTCCAGCAGTCTGTAGCCACTTCACTAAGGGATAGATCAGGAAACCCAAGCCGACTCTAACTATAGGATTTATCAAAAATGAAAGTCTTAAAAGTAGAGTGTCAGCCTTACAGACAGAAAATGGAAGTTGGTCCTTTAAGAGAGGAGCGGAGAAGTGAAAGCTCTGCATCTCGAAGGCAGCCCATCATGCATGTTTTTGAACTGTGGGAGAAAACCAGCACGCACCGAAGAAAACCTACGCAAACACGAGGAGAACACAACAACTCCACACAGAAAACCCCAAGATTGTACCTGGGCCATCTTTCTGTGAGGAAAAGTGCTAACCACTAAGCCATTGTGTTCGAAGTGCCCCGGAACAAATAGAACAATAAAAGCTTTAATATTAAATTAAGCTAGGTTGTTAAGATATTTGTATGTTAAAAAATGTTTTAATTCTATTCTGAATTTGGCAGGAGAGAAATTAAAAATGGAGAGCGAAGATTGCCCACCAGACCTACTCATCCGATATCGGTTCCTAACCTTATAGATGTTCTACAGAACAAATGGGCACAAATTATCACGATGTGTCAAGTGGTAGAATCAAGACATCAGGGCTAAACTGGAGCAGTAAATAAATAAATGCTGTTTAATATCAAGTGTTCAGGAAGCCAGCAGTAAACTGATGGAGCGCAGCAACAATTGGTTAAAAAAGAAAACAAGAATATCATTGGTGAGAAAACACAATAATTATAAATAAACAGGGAGGAGTGATTACTGAGTGATTACAGCTGAGCTAAATAGCAGATGAGGGACAGGTGAGTGAATGAGCAGAAGCCGATGATAAAAAAAACTATGTAAATTAAAAACACACTGATCACAAGTAGGCTTAAGAAAAATACAAGTGGATATACAACACAAGCCAAAACTCCAGTGTGGGGTGATGGGGGCAGCAGGTTGAACAGGAAGGCCCAGACGTTTCTTTCCCAGCCACCTCTTCCAGCTCTTCTGGGAGGTTTCCAAGGTTCGCCTAGGCCAGCCGAGAGACAGTCGCTCCAGCGTTTTCTGAGTCTTCCACAAAGTCTCCTTCTCTTTGGACAAGTCCAGAAAACCTCCTTGGGAAGGTATCCAGAGAGCATCCTTACCAGATACCCGAACCACCTCCTCTTGATGGAGGAGCAGCAGCTGTATCTCTTGGATACCTGAACTTCTCATCCCATCTCTACCGAAGAGTTCAGCTACCCTGTGGAAAAAACTCATATCGACCTTCTGCATCTGTGGTCTTGTTCTTTTAGTCACCACACAGGATGTGCTATGGGTGGAAGGAGAAGGTGTTGACCTTAGCCTACCAAAGCTGGTTCTTGGGACATAATGATTATTCATTCTGGATTTAGGGATTTGGACTGGAGACCTCTAAACTCAAACATTGCAGTTCAGTCCAGCAATAGTTGTAACCTTATCAGTGGTCTGTCCACTGAATGTGGGCCGCACAACCCTCTCACATTATCTTACTACTCAATTTCCAGATCAGTTTTTGCAACGAATGAAAGTAAATTTTAAATTGTCAGATACCAAAGTTCATGCTCAATAATCCAGGTAAAAATCCAACAGTGTTCAGTCAGGTCATCTGGATGTTTAGTTTTTTTTCTGAGACATTTCATCCTTCCTCCAAAGGACTTCTTCAGTCTGAGGAGCCACCAAAAAAACTGATTCCCACAACCAGCATACTCCATTGTGGAAAAAAAAAACTGTTTGCTAGTGCCTGATGGCCTCTGGGGCCCACCCTGTCCCCTATCACCTCCTCTGAGACAGTCATGCCAAAGTGGTTCAAAACACCAGAGTTCATGCTCAGTAATCCAGGTATAAAATCCAGCAATGTTCAGTCAGGTCATCTGGATGTTTTTTTGTTTTTTTTTCTACAACATCTTTAATTTGAGGAGCCACCAAACAAACTAAAGTGTCAGACTTGGTGTGAAGTGTGATTTTTATGCACACGTGCAAAAGTATGCCAGTAACAGTGACCGTCCCCAGTGCAGCTTTTGGAAAGCATCCATTGATACAGGATACAGCTCTGTTTTGTGCAAAACCGCGCGTGCTTTTCCACGTGACCGTCCTCCCATCGAGTCCACGTGCGATTGTTTTCATTCCGACGCTGCTGCGGCAGTTAGGGGGCGGGGCTGGTGCCTCGTGACGTCACCGAAGCTGCAGCAGCAGCCAGTGCCACTAGCTGCTCAGTGAGTCTTCTTGGACCGAGTTAGTGCGTCGTATCTCCGCAGCCTCGTTCCCAACACGACCTGGGGCAAACCAACCGGCGGTGGACGGGTTTGTACACATTTAAGCAACACTCGGACCGATATTTTCCCTCTCTTCGTGTTGATATTTCCACGGAAAATTCAAGGAAACAGCGCTAACTAAAACTTCAGATGGAAAATTCGTTGAGCAGCCGGTTTCGGTCCGCAATGTTTAACCACGGTAAGTATTTATATATATTTTATTTATTTTAACTGCATCGTGTCGAGTCACTCGGACTATGCTCGAGTTTGACCTGAAAATGTTTCCCCATTGAAATAAAACGGTGTGTTGGCTCTGAACGCACAGCAGCACGCGCGGACTGCCCGGGTTGGCTGCTGCTCAGCTTTGACACCGAGAGGAACATTTCTCCGTTTTCTGTCTAAAATGTCCTGTTAAATGTGTAAAAAGCCTGGACGGTCCATAGCAGAACCCGAACACGGTTATTTTGCATCTCTGCAAGAGACTAAAATGAGGCAGATGCTCCAGATACGCAATTATAAACCCCGAGAAAAGTTCATTTCCAAACAAATTGTACATTAAATATTTGCAAATTGTTCTTTGCACAGACCAGATCACATGAAACTGGCTGTGGCTTCTCATATAACCATAGATGACTGACATTAATGTGCCTTGACTTCTACTAAAACAGTGTTCTTATGGAAACATCAGAAAGATCTGGTTGCCTGTTCAGCCTTCTGAAAACTGATACCTGGACTGTAACAGGTGTGTTGATCAGCTCTCAGACTAATGAAGAGAAAGGAGTGGTGCTTGGCACCAGATTTTACAATATTTTGGGTGTTTGGTAATAGTATTTAGCCACATTATGGATGGATGCTGGTGTATGGTGCCTCAGTGAGTTTGGGCTGATTTCAAGGTGTCTTTTATTTATTTATTTATTTACCTTTATTTAACCAGGCAAATTCCATTGAGATCACAGATCTTATTTGCAAGGGAGGCCTGGGCCTGAAGGCAGCCCAACATGCATGTTTTTGGTCTGTGGGAGCAAATTGGAGTACCCGAAGAAAACCCACGCAAGCACGAGAAGAACATACAAACTCCACACACAAAGACCCCAGGTCCAAACGGGGAATTGAACCCAGGACTTTCTTGTTGTGAGGCAACAGTGCTAACCACTGAGCCATCGTGCTGCCACAGTATTTGATCTGAATCTCAGTGGGGTGAGAGACAAGTTGTGACGACAACAGATGCTTTTGAACATAAGTTTAATAAGGTTGAGTGAGGTCCTCTGGAGGGATTCTTCTGAAGAATCTCCAGAAGAACCCTTCCAGAGAACCTCACTCAACCTTATTAGATTCATCTACCTGGATTATTGATCCTGCATCAGGATATTTTGCCCACAAGGTTTTAGGAGCTTCCCAATGGTTGCAGGGACTAGAAAGGTCAGCAGTGGCCATCATACCTTTGACCCTTGCTGGCAAAGTGAATCAAAACATTAATGTTTATTTTAACTGGCATTTGAATTAAAATGAGTCCATAAAGTCGCCATCTAGAGGTCCCATTAAATAAGATAGCATATGACCTTCTTAATCTACTACAGTAGTAAATGAAAGTTCAGACAGGTATGTCTTCAGAAATAATTTGTTGCCTTAAAACCCTTATAATTTCCTTTGGAATTCGCCATTTTTCCCTGCCTGCTACCATAGCACCAGGAAACCCCTTCATATAATGTTTGGCTGTATTGTAAATCTTAGGGATTGCACTGTTGAAGTAAAGGGTGTGTCCAGTCCTGGTTCTCGAGGATCACTGTCCTACATGTTGTAGATGTTTCTCTGCTTTGAAGCACCTGATTTGAATGAGCGAGTGATTACCAGGCTGCTGCAGACCTTGAAGACCTTCTGAAGAGCGGTGAAACAACCAGCACATGCAGGACAGTGGCCCACAAGGACCAGGATTGGACACCGCTGTTCTAGAGCAACAGAAGTCTTGTTTTCAAACCGTCTCTCTCATAAATATAACTGGCTTGTTGTTAGGTGATAAATCTCCACATGTCAACAAGCTAAGCATACCGGTAGTTTTAAAGCATTTGAGATGACAAATTTTAAAACAAATCTACATTTAAGGAGTTTTTGTTGTGACTCATCTTGTAGCATGGGTCATTAATGATTTAATTTTCCTCCATAATTCAGAGCTCATGTTGCTAAAGGAGTCAAAAGTTGAACTCCCTGCTTTGCAGAAAGACGTGGTTTACCTTCAGCTTTGTCTTCAAAACAAGAGTAAAAGTTGTAGGAATAGTACAACATTTAGTTTGCAGAAGCAGCTAACTTATACCAGTTCAAATGAGCAAACTCATTCATGTGAGCCAACAATGACCTCATATTTGTTGTCAAATATGTCAGTGCTGTATCATAACACAAACAATGTGTTATGCAGTAATATTGGTGATTTATCCTGAAGTGACAGCTGAGTCCTCAAAACAATATGCTCTTTATGCCAGAAACAGACAAACATAATTGTGCAGTTTTACAAAAGTGATCTAGTACAACTAAAGCACAAAATAAACTTGGGCTTCTGTAACCAGTGAGGCACTTATTTCAGACCAGGACATAGGCCGAGTCTCATCTAAAGACAAAGCTGCACAAATGTGTCTCTGTTGGTTTTTATTTTATTTTAGAACAAAGGACTTATTAAAGCTAATTTAAGTTTTATTCTGAAGGCTGACCTGCTGCTGTACTTGATACTAAAATTACCAGGCTACTAAAACTGTGATTTCCTAAGGGTGCAAACACTTTTTTTTTACTGGTCTTAAACATGTTCCCTCTGCGCCAGCAGTGTGGCTGCACTCTTTAATGTCCAGTCTGTTTTTGATCGGTGTGCTGTCATTGCCCAGATGTTGAGAAAATTTTAATGAGGCAAATTAATGAATGATCATTACAAAACAATAGTGATTTCAAGGTCAAAGTCAAGGTTCTTTATTATCATTCGCGTCGCATATGGTACATGTGGTGGAACGAAATTGTGTGCACAGGGTCCCAGTCACATCCAACAAAAGTATAAATTGTAAAATAAAAAACAGTAATAAGATCTATGATATGAACTAAGAAATACGCTAATCACTAATAGTGCAAAAACAATACAGCGAACAACAGCAGCATTTCAATACTGATCACAAAGTTTATAATAAGTATTTTGACTGTTTCTGCAACCCTTTTATTGTATAAATGCATAGATCTATATGTTAGTGCCACTTTAATTAAGGCATTAGTTTATCTTGAAATCATACAACTATTGCTTAATACCGAGCATAACACCAATTTCAAATCATTATGCATAATATAGAGTGACCAAGGATCCACCTTCAAGCTCCTGCTTTGTTTTTTTTTGTTCAAGATGCCTCAGAGTTTACATCATGGCTTTTCCGTGTCCTGCTTGTTATTTACACCTCTTTGAGACGCGTCTTTAAAACTACGGTTGTTGACTCTTAATCAGATCAGTTTAAAACCTTTCAAATTGTTTTTTGTTAGAGCAGAACTGACTCGTGAGATGAGGTTCAATTTATAATTTACTTTATTTGGAGGGAGCTCTTAAAAATTTAACAAATGGCGCAAAATGTTCCTTTGCTACAGAAAACAGCAGCAGAAGCAGACATCATGACACAGTCCCTTTAAAACCAGATGTAAAGGTACACAGCAAGCAGCGGGACAATGTGTGGTATGGATGGGTGGACCAGTCCACAGTGGTTAACATTCCTTAGAAAGCCTTGTGGAGGGATGCTGCCATCCTCGCTGCTTCACACAAACTCTGGAAGATTTCTGAGTGTAGAAACCACAAGGAAAAAATGGGGTCAAGAGAAAAGCCATTGCAGTACTCAGACAGGGTTTTAATGTTGCTCCTATGTCCCGAGACAGTTCTAAACCAGCATCTGTGTTTATGTATCTAAATTAGCTTTTCCTTTGCTTACTTGATCAAAATGAGTCATATTTGTGTATTTGTCTTGCCGCAGACATTTGGTTTCTCTGGAGCGATGCAGACAGATGTCAGATCTGCTCTAGGAGCATCAGCAGTAGCCTGCGGCTCATACATTATATAAAATGTGTATGCAGTGACAGCTGAACCACTGCCTGTAACAACACTGCTGCTTCTGAAGTGACTGGAGACGGTGGCAGAAGACATGTAAAGATAAAGATTTTCTGGTTCATGTTTCAGCACAGTAAGCTCACAGGCACCGGTGATCCTGAGTTTAAAGAAGCAAATCAATGTTTGTGATTCTCCCATTACATCTCACACAGCTGTCTGCGAGAAGTAAAATACATTTATTAGGCCTTTAAAGAACAGATGGAATCAGTAAATGACAGATATGATAAATATTTTGGGATGCCTCTATCTTTTCACTAATTAATGATTACTTTAGGAGGACATCATTTTTTAAATACATCATCTCCAGAATTGACCACTTTAAATCTACTTAGAGCTCATTCACCTGGGAAACAAATGCACCTTCTGTCACCGAGGATCAGCTGTCAGGTTGTGTTTTAATACAGATCCTTGAAAAAGTATTCACATCCTTGGATGTTTTACCCATTTATTGCTATCATAGGCCAGTCATGGTCAATATAAGTTGGCTTTTAGTTCAAAATAAAACTTGCATGACAAAATAAAATTTGATTTCTACAAAGCCAGTTAAACAAAATATGTAATGCAAAATAAAATATTGCATGAAACGGGCTCGATCTCCAGCCAATCCCACATGTTGTGGTGTCTCTGAGCAAGATACCTAATCCCCAATTGCTCCCTTGGCACTTACATAGCTGCTGGGATACACAGGTGTGATGGGTTAAATGCAGAGAACCAATTTCACCATTGTGTATGAGAATATACAATGATGACAGCACATAGCACTTTACTTAAAGGGCGGCTGTGGCTGAGTGGTTAGAGCAGTCGTCCTCCAATGCAAGAGTTGGGGATTCGATTCCACCAGCAGTCACATGCCAAAATGTCCCTGAACACGACACTGAACCCCTCATTGCCGCCGGTTTGTGTCCCATTGGTGTATGAATGTGATAAAGCACTGATTATTCTGTGTAACAATATAGTAGTGTTGTATGAATGGGTAAATGAAGGCACAGATTGCAGTGTAAAGAGCTTTGAGCATTTTGATAAGACAGAAAGGAGCTATATAAGTACAGAACATTCACCATTTACCATTTCTTTTAATAGATTGTCCTAGTTCAGCAGAGGTTCAGCCACAGTAGTTTTACAATTAGTGAAATGGGAATCACCTGAGGGAAGTACCTGTAGATGGTCTGAAGAGATTACAGCATAAGAACACTTGAGTCTGGAAGGTCTATTTACTGGTTAATCACTATTGTGGCTACCGTTGCACTGGGAAAACAAAAAACACTCCCAACAAATCATAATTGTTTTAAATTGAAAAGTACACATCAGGATGGATACAGAAATATTTCCTAGGCCTCAAATGTCCTCAGGAGTTCTGTTAAATCCATCCATCCATCCATCCATCCATCCATCCATTATCTTCCGCTTATTCTGAAGTCGGGTCGCGGGGGCAGCAGCTTGACCAGGGAGGCCCAGACATCTCTTTCCACAGCCACCTCTTCCAGCTCTTCTTGGAGGATTCCAAGGCGTTTCCAGGCCAACTGAGAGACATAATGTCTCCAGCGTGTTCTGGGTCTTCCCCGGGGTCTCCTCCCAGTTGGACATGCCCGAAGCACCTCTCTAGGGAGGCGCCCAGGGGGCATCCTTACCAGATGCCCAAACCACCTCAACTGGCTCCTCTCGACGTGGAGGAGTAGCGGTTCTACTCCGAGTCTTTCCCGAATAACTGTTAAATCCATCATGAAAAAATGGGAAGACTACGGGTTACGTGCAAATCTACCAAGAGCAAGACTTGGTATCCTCACAGACTGAGTGGACTTTATTGGAGAGTTGCAAAGAGAGACACTTTTCAAGAAATCTCAGATTAAATCTCAACTAGTGTTGATCAAGTAGCGTGTGGTTAAATCCATGGACGAGAGGAAGACAGTTCTGTGGTCTGAAGAAACCAAATTAGACTATAGAGCAGACTTAAATCCAATAAGAATTGTGTGTGTTGACTTGAAAAGGGCTGTTCATGTCTGATCCCCACTCAACCTGGCAGAGCTTCAGCAGTTTCGTAAAGAAGAATGAGGTAACTTTCCAGAGTCTAGATGTGCAAGACTCATACTTATCCACACATACTCAGTGCTGTGACTAAAGGTGTTTGTACTAAATACTGATTTCAAGGTGGAGAATTTAATTAGTATTACTCTGAATAAATGTAATTTCACTTTGACGTTGAAGCATTTTTGTAAAAAACAACAAAAATGTTGTCAAAAATGCCAATTCATATTGACCATGGTTGATTTGTCTACAATAAAAATAGAAAACATCCCAACAGGTAAATACTTCTTTATTTTACATATACAGTAGTCCCTTGTTTATTGCGGGAATTATGTTCCAGACCCCTCCCCCCGCAATAAGTGAAAATTTGAGAAGTAGCAACGTTATTTTTTTTTTGTATTTATATATATTTAAGGCTTTATAAACCCTTCCTACACTCTTGCAATGTTCTAAACTCTTAAACCTACGTATTTAACAACATACGCATAAGTACGGCACAATAGCTGCTAAATTTTTACTCACCAGTTCTGCAGAACAGCAGCTCAGTTCTGGTCCGAGTCGGTTCTGTTTTAGCAAATCTACCCTGCAGGATCAACCCTGCCGGTTCTGGTCAGCTCTCTACAGCCCTTGAGCACCAAAACGCTTTTGGAGGGAGCTGGACCATCAGATGGCAAGCATTGGACCACATGGTGGTCGAGATGGAGTCCAAATCTGGATGGGGGAAGTCCCAGTGGGCTCCGGAGAGAATGCCGGACCTCCGGGTGTCGCCTCTACACTCGGAAAGTCTCGTGGGCCGACAGGCGGCGCTCAGATTCACCAATGAGTCTGGAAGTCCGGTTCTCGGTCGGTTCCATGCAGCTCTCTGCATCCGCTCGGCGCCGAAGTCATTATGAATAAGGACCTAACTTTTTGGATTGGATCAAAACTTTCCCTCCATTTCAGCAGAAGGCAACAGGGCTTCTGGGCGGGGCACTGTTGGCTTCTCAGAAATGTAGTTGTTTTGAGTGGTGATCAAGTGTGAGAGAAAACTACCAAATGGTGGTGCCTGTCTGAAGGTTTTTTTTTGGGTTAACTTTTTACTGTACAGTAGGGGTGTAACAATACACATGGGTGTATTGAACCGTTTCGGTTCGACATGTTCGCTTCGGTCCACGTGCATACCATTTTGGGTATTTTTTTTCACTCATTAAATTTTATTAACGAGAGATTATGTGCAACGGAACTAAAGTTCCTAAGCGCGTTTCAGCGCGGCGCTATTATCTTGTAGCATGCGCAGCATTAGCATTAGCTTCTCGTTGCGGTCTCCTGTTTGGGAACATTATGGCTTTCTTGTTAAAAGACAAGTGAACACATCCAAAGCTGTGTGTCGATATCGTTTCATGGAGAGTGGATCTGCAGCAGCAACACGTCTAACTTGTTAACTCACTTGAAACAACATCATATGAACGTGAACGTCTCTTCTACAGAATAACAGCTTGTTGCAAAGACCGATAACAGCAGCATTTAAACAACCTTTATCAGTTAATTCAGATCGGTCCAAAGCAAGAACACAAGCTGTAGGAGTTTTTAAAGCTCTGGATCTACGTCAGAATGTTGTTGATACGCCGACTTTAAAGTTATTGAGCCCCACTGCCTATGACATCCCATCACGTCAACACTTCAGCCAAAATGTTTTATCAGCACTTTATGAAAAAGCTAAAACTGATATTGTCAACAAGCCCTGGACCAGATTAAAGCCCTGCCCTGATGATGATGACAGAGATTCAGCCACCTCATAACAAATGATGACCGTTCAAGAAGAGGTGTTATTTTATTATTATTATTATTATTATTATCTAATTAACTTTTTTAAATTTAAAATTATAATCTTATTAACTCTTTTTTTTTTTTTTTTGCAAGACAGCAGCTGAGTCTTCTTCCTCTTCAGCGAAATCCACCACAGATCAGCTCCAGCTAACAAGTCTGTGAGGACTGAATTCTGAACTTTTCCATGGACAGGTGGGAGCAGGTCCAAGAAGAGCTCGACCTCTTTATTCCTGCTACTGTTGTTAGTGAGAGGATTTTCTCCACCGTTGAAGATATTCACTGCAACTAGATCTGAGCTTTTGGCAGAAACTGTGGACAAGTTGGTCTTTTTGGCCAAAAACTTAAAACTTGATTAGTTAGTAAACAGTCTGTTGCTGCTTATTGTTCTGCTTCTGACTGTTATTGTATTTATTAAGATTTTTATTATTTTTAGTATCGTTCATTTATTGTAAAGCGTACCGTTTATTTAAAATATCATCCAAATGGGTTGCTTTTATTTATTTTTATACAAATGTATGTTTACTTGGCATATTTCCAAAATAAATATTCATTTTGGCCTTTTTGGTACTGAAAATTAACCGAACCGAGCCCTCCTTGAAACTGAACCGAACCGAAATGTGATTTTAGCGTACCGTTACACCCCTACTGTACAGTACCCCATACTGTCCCAATCATGTGAGTAATATTAAAGTTGACAATCCTGTCGTGTACAATTATTTTTTTTCTCGTGTACAATCTTACTTTGAAAAACCACGAAAGATTGAGTCCGCAAAAGTTGAACTGCAACATAGCGAGGGACTACAGTATGTGGATTCTTTAATACAATTTTACTCTGGTTTTATCTCATCAACTTTGACCACATCCTAATTACCGGTAGAAGGTCCGTCAATATTTGATGTGTGTAACTGGTGGAAGCTTTCAATTAAAACATATTTACACATTTTCAAATATATCTATTCAGAATTACAGAAATATTGTTCTCAAAGATGACTACACCGGCTGTTTTTTCAGAAGTAAAACACAAATTTGTTTCTCTTTTTTCTCTCTCGTTTGAGTATTAATCAGTAAATAATAATTCCCAGATTCCCTTTTTATTAAATGAATGAATCTGATGTCAGATGCTCATTTAATTACAAAATGTTATTTTAAAATACAGCAAAAAATCACCATCAATCCATTCTTCAAATGTATTGTTTATATCAGCGTTCACCTAACCTGATTTTGTTTTTAGTATGTTAAAACTGTTTCTGTTCCTTCTGCATGTGCCTGACCTCTGTTGGATTTCGAAACAACTTTTACGCTGATCAATCCTCCTCCTGTGGCCAGACGATGAGGTAAGAAGCCAACACTTTTATTCACTTCTGCTGCTGAAGACCACACAGCCTCCTGTTAGGGGAGCGTTCACTGTGGTTCGTTGTGTTCAGAGCGTTTTATCGTCGATGCAGCGACGATGGGTTTGTGAAGTTTTTGCATCCGTTTTGAATCAGAAGTTCTGTCCTGTTGATAAATATTTCAAACTCCGACTGTCATTTTATATGAATGACTGGTCTTTATATGCGTCAGAGTTTTATGTGACTGTACAGAAATATTTTTTATGAGAAAAGGTGTGTTAAGAAAACCCAGATTTTCTAGTTTGTCTCGTAGTGCGCCAGCTAAGAATCCTTTGTGTCTGCTTTGTTTTTATTAAATCGTTGCGTTCCACTCTACATTCTATTGATCACAGCTTCCTTGTTGGGACCAGTCTTAGTGATGGTTTTGTTATCTTTCTGGCAGCCAGAATAACTCATCCTCTTCTGTACATCTCTGGTAACTTCACAAGGCCTTGCAGCTGTGTTTGACCCAGTTGAGTGGGGATTGAAAGTGGAGCATGTTTGTTTTTGAAACTGAACAGTTCTCAGCTTGGTGAAGAGGAGTGGATCTGTCTGGGTGTGACAAACCTGGTTCCTTCCTCAGCAACATTCCAGACCTATGTGACAAAGCTGCAGTGCATGTTGTCAGAGAGAACACCTTGTGAGGAAAGATTCAGCATCTGTCCAAACGCAGTGATTACTGCAGGCTCCTGACTGAGCGACATTATCTCATGATGTTTCGCAGATGTCCAAGTCTTCATAATTTAGGTTTGTGTTCTTCAAACCCCACCTGTCCATTAATTTTTATCAAACCTAATTTATATTCCTTCTGGAAGTCATCACAAGCTTCAAACTGACATATTTAAAGTGCCCTTCTTCTGCCGCACCCACACCCGTAAACCACATAGGGCTTTGGGTTGTGGTGAAGCAAGAGGGTGACTGTAGCTTCCTTTTGTCAGCTTAAATATATCACTTAATGTCACACTGGCACACTTCCAAACAGACATAATGATGTCACGTTGCTTGGACAGTGCCAGTGGAGGATGGTTGTCTTTCTCCACACACACAAACACAATCCTCACTGTTGCATTCCTCTGTGGCTTTAAGTAAACTAGCCATTAGCTTCTTGTGCCTTCATTTGCTGCTTCCTTCTGCAGCCAGAGTGAAAGCAGTCTATACTTGGAGTTTATTAGACCATTAGCCTCTGCAGAGGATGCTGGTTTCCACTTTACTTCTTTGCCAACAGAGCAGTCTTTCTCATTTGTTGTCACTTCCAGTGTGTGCGCACTCGTTCCATTCATTTACAAACAGGAATGACAGAATCTGCAGAAATGCAGCACCACACCCACTGATCCGGTGATTGACATTTCTTTGTTGAAAAAACGCATTCAACTTGCAAAACATAACTATTATTCATTCCAATAGACTGTCAAAAGATGGGCGTTGGTTTCTGGTGTCACAAAGTTTAATGAAGTTCTTTTTTTTGTTCAGCGGTACTAAAATAATGGGAATCAACAAATTCAATCAGTTTTAATAAGTTGTGTCTTCACATTACTTGAGTTGAATTTATTATTTTAATCATGGCCACAATGCAGGTTCAGGTGGTTATTTAATTTGTTGCCGCATTAATTATTTCACAATTTACCTGCATCTGAAATTAAAATTTTTTAAACTGTATGGATTATCTCAGTACCTGCTTTATGTAGGAGGGATTAATGCTAGGGATGCACGATATTGGCTTTTTGGCTGATATCCGATATGCCGATATGTTAAAGAGTTATTCGGCCGATAACCGACACCAATGCCAATTTTTTTTTTCCCTAGACATACTTACAGAGACTACATAGCTTTTTCTGCTGTGACATCAAAATAAATTATTCTGCATGGTCTACCAAATGCAGATGCCCAAAAGGGGGCTGAAAATGATGCAACACTTCAACTTAGATTATAATGTTAAATTTGTTCATGATATTTACTCTAACACAATGACAACACTCGAACAGTGCAAATGTGTAAATTTTCACAAATCTAAAGTCAAAGGTGCATGCGATGCCTTTTTATAACTCTATTGTTGTTATCATTCTTTGTTGAAATCAGGTCTTTCTTGTAAATGAGTCCTCAAGGCTCAATGGGATTTACCTGTAGAAATAAAGGTGAATGAATGATGTCATAACATTGTGCTGGCACTGCAGGCATCCTTGTCACTGGGTTGTCATAATATATATATATATATATATATATATATATATATATATATATATAATATACACCATGCTGATAATATTGTGAATCCCTAATCAATCCATCCCATTGGTACCTAAGCCTAACTACAGATTTTATGCTGTTTTATTTATAACAGATTGCATTTTGTTCCTGTTAGTTGCAGATTTCTCTGAACCTAATAAGATACAATCTGTTGACACTCCTTTGAGCTGCATCAGCGGTCTTGTTTACACACAATTAACTTCTGACCTTTTTAAACACCAGTAAATCTAATCTTTTATATTTAATGCAGAGAGATGCTGTATTATCAGCCAGAGCTCCTAACTGGAGGAGCACAGTCCACCAAGCAAGCATGTTCTCTAAAACAAAATATAATTCTGTGCATTATTCTATATTTTTTTTTACTCCTCATTCTATGTTGGCCAAACGTTGTTGAATAATATCACTCTTAAATTACATTAGAGGTTACACATTTGTTTGAGTCACTTACTTTTGTATTACTGAAATTTAAACCCTGATTATGGCATTTACAGAAAGCTTGTCATTTCACTTCTCAGTGAAAACAGACCATCATTTTGTATCACTCAGCACTGCATTAAGAGGGGTTTATTATCTGAGATTGTAGGGATGCTTTCAGCTTGGGGATTTGGCTTTGACAGGCAGCCCTCTGGGTCTGTGCAGTTTGATGTGAGGGCAAACAATCGGGTTAGGGAGCGGGCACACAAGACTTCACTCAATACAAGACCGCTGTGAGACAACAATGAAGACATGGTGAAAGACAAGAGCTTAAAGAGGGGTTTGATGTCAGCATCAGATGTCATCATGAGGGGTTTTTTTTTGTTAGAGCTACATTTTTTTTCTACAGGAAGAGAAGTTGTTCAAACTCTGGCATTAAGTAAGCTAATGCTCCATTTACAACCATAAGAGTGCTACAACATTTCTTACAATACTGCTGCAACTAAGTGAGTTATACCAGTTTTGGACGGTGATTGTCCCAACAGAAACATGTTGGTGTGGGACAACCAAATCTGTAAATAAGATAATCTCTACAACATATAAGGGAGCCACATTAAGAAGAAAATGCCATGCAGTAACGGTCAAATCGGTGGCTCTGCTGCTGTGCTGAGGACATGCAAACCCACATGATATATGCAATAATCACTCAGTAGTCAGGTTTGCACATACATGTATCATTAATGAAGCTAGATTTCCATTTAGCTGCTTCTGTTTCAGAGTAGCTTTTTCATTTTGAGGTTTGTGGTGTCGTAGATTCTGATTCTCTGCCACACTCAGGTTTAAAAAGTGTTTATCATTCTGAGGGAGATTGTTTATGACAAACTTGAGAGTTTTATGTTTATTTGACGGTGATTTCAAATTTCTTTGAAGGCTAAATACAAATAAAAGGTGAACGTTAGTTTTATTTGTGCAGTTTGTATTTCTAAAATGTTATACTGGAGGAGTTTCATAGACTCGGCAAAATAAGTTTTAGTTTTACAAGCATTATTTCTGAGGCTTTTATATTGTTTATATCGGTATCGGAATTATATCGTATCAACTGAAATTAAGAAATATATCGTGATACAAGTTTTGCCCATATCATCCAGCCCTGTTGTTTAGTCAGAAATTAACAGTAAAACATCTACGTTTCTGCACTGGTGCTTTGTTGCTTTAATGTTTTACTTCAAAATGTCCAATTTTGGTAATAGTTTTACATCTTTACGTCACATCATCAAAGCTGTAATGTTTCACATGTACTTAAACAACTCCTAACTGTAGCCTCAACAGTGAGTTTATACAAGTTTATACATTTAACATGGTCTTTTGCTTTCCCCCAATCATCACTTCCTTCCTGTCCCTGCTCGGATGATCAGACCTTCAAACCGTGTGGCTTGAATCTTCATTTCTGCTGATGTGCTGCATCAGCCTGAGCTGCTCTTCTAGCCTCAGCACTCTGCGGACGTTTTGTTGGAAGGCGACCTTAAACATTCCTTTAGCGTTGAGAGGATTGGCCCCTGCCAGTCCCCCTTATTGCTATAAATAATCTCAGCCCAGTTCCCATGGCTCGCGCCACAATCCTGTCATTCAGAGAGCATTGTGGGACACGCTTCACCAGAGAGAGCACTACTCTTTCCCCATAACTGACGGACAATTGACTACTTCTTCTTTTGGCTGTGTTCAGTGGTCTCCACAGAGAGTCCTCCTCCATCTCTGTCCTCTGCATCCTCTGTCCTCACTCCAACTACCTCCATGTCCTCTCTAACTGCATCCATATATCTCCTCTGTCTTTTTCCTGGCAGCTGCATTTCTAACATCCTTCTACCTTTTCTGTCACCCTTTTGTCACAAATCCAAAACTTTTCTACCTCCACTCCATCCTGCCTGGACTCTTGCTCACAGATAACTAACTTGTTGAAATTAGGACAGGTGTTGAGGCAGTTGTCTGAGATCAGAAACCATGACTGGAGTGAATTAAAAGACATTTACTGAACGTTAATGTGACTTGATGAAAAACTTGACATTTCCTATTTAAGAATCATCTTGATGCAGTTTGCCATCTTCTGTTTGTCTTCTAAGTGATAAAACTGAAAAAGCTTTTTACCTCAATATTATGTTTTGATATTTGGATTTCACAGTCACTTTCACTTTAAAAACAAGTTTTCTAAACATCAATAATCTTTGGAAGAAAAGTGTTTGTCAATTACTTTTAAAGTCTGTGGTTTTGAAGTGTAGTCATTTCTATTTTTTCTGAAATCAGCCGATGTT